AGACCAGAGGAAGGAAAAGTAGCACAAGGAGCCAATCGGTTGTGCTGCATTGGAAGGAGCATGCTGACAGAAGAAGTGAGCAGAGTTGCAGTAAGTAGACAGAAATACAAATGTTTGGGCCAGTAAAACAGCCCTCTAAAATATATTTTATCTATGTAGTTAGCTGTTTGCCTGGAGTTTAGCTTAAGATCCAAGAAACTAAACAGCAGGAAATTCAAGATAACTGTGGTTTTAATATGGCTAAAAGAGAAAACAAAATGGCAACAAAACTCAGAGGGATAAAAATGTATGGATCCACTCTATACAAGTATCTGATTTTATACTGCCATATTAAAAGTGCCTTGAAAAAGTATTAATACCCCTTGAAATGTTCCAAATTTTGTCATGTTATAACCAAAAACGTAAATGTATTTTATTGGGACTTTATGTGATAGACCAACACAAAGTGGCACATATTTCTGAAGTGGAAAAAAAATGATAAGTGGTTTTCAACATTTTTTACAAATAAATATCTGAAAAGTGTGGCGTGCATTTATATTCAGCCCCCTGGAGTCAATACTTTGTAGAACCACCTTTCAATGCAATTACAGCTGCAAGTCTTTTTGGCGATGTCTCTCCCAGCTTTGCACATCTAGAGAGGGACATTTCTGCCCATTCTTTTTTGCAAAATAGCTCACGTTCTGTCAGATTGGATGGAGAGCGTCTGTGAACAGCAATTTTCAAGTCTTGCCACAGATTCTCAATTGGATTTAGGTCTGGACATTGGGCCATTCTAACACATGAATTTGCTTTGATCTAAACCATTCCACTGTAGCTCTGGCTGTATGTTTAGGGTCATTGTCCTGCTGAAGGTGAACCTCCACCCCAGTGTCAAGTCTTTTGCAGACTCTAACAGGTTTTCTTCTAAGATTGCCCTGTATTTGGCTCCATCCATCTTTCCATCAGCTCTGACCAGCTTCCCTATGCCTGCTGAAGAAAAGCATCCCACAACATGATGCTGCCACCACCGTGTTTCACAGTAGGGATGGTGTGTTCAGGGTGATGTGCAATGTTAGTTTTCTGTCACATATCATTTTGCTTTTAGGTCAAAAAGTTCAATTTTGGTCTCATCTGACCAGAGCACCTTCTTCTACATGTTTGCTGTGTCCCCCACATGGCTTCTTGCAAACTGCAAATGGGACTTCTTATTGCTTTCTTTCAACAATATTTTTCTTCTTGCCACTCTTCCATAAAGGCCAGATTTGTAGAGTGCATGACTAATAATTGTCCTGGAGACAGATTCTCCCACCTGTGCTGTGGATCTCAGCAGTTCCTCCAGAGTTACCATGGGCCTCTTGGCTGCTTCTCCAATTAATGCTCTCCTTGTCCAGACTGTTAGTTTAGGTGGACGGACATGTCTTATGTTTGCAGTTGTGCCATACTCTTTCCATTTTTGGATGATGGATTGAACAGTTCTCCGTGAGATGTTCAAAGCTTGCAATATATTTTTATAAGCTAACCCTGCTTTGTCTCCACAACTTTATCCCTGACTTGTCTGATGTGTTCTTTGGCCTTCATGATATTGTTTGTTCACTAATGTTCTCTAACAAACCTCTGAGGGCTTCACAGAACAGCTGTATTTATACTGAGATTAAATGATACACATGTGGACTCTATTTACTAATTAGGTGACTTTTGAAGACAATTGGTTCCACTAGATTTTAGTTAGGGGTATCAGAATAAAGGGGGCTGAATACAAATGCATGACACACTTTTCAGATACATGTTTGTAAAAAAAAAGTATAATTTTCCTTCCACTTCACAATTAAATGCCACTTTGTGTTGGTCTATCACATAAAATCCCAATAAAATACATTTACATTTTTGGTTGTAACATGACAAAATGTGGAAAATTTCAAGGGGTATGAATACTTTTTCACGGCACTGTATGCCCTCTAAAAGCCAATAACACCTTTGGGCTTAGCATGGTAAAAGCCCATTAGTAAGAACTTGAGGTTATATTCAAAGAGAGATGTGTATAGTACTGGAAACTTCTCTTTGAAGTGTATTATATCGCAGTGAAAGCACTGATTAAAATGTCCTCAGTGTCATTCAGAATGGGTAACAATTACTATTATTTGTTCTTTTTCAAGCTCAAATTATTCCCGACTTGGGATACCGCCGCAGAAAAAAAATCGTTGTTATCTTTATAGTAGCATTTCAAACTGGATACAATTATAAGCGATAAGGAAGAAAATATCAGTTCCCCCACTTTGGAGAAGACCTGAATGCTATATACTCATTGTCGCTTAAAGGCGCTATTCAAACAGCAAGAGGATAATTGATGATTTTACATTAAAATAATATATTCTCAGCTGCCAAAGACTTATTAAATTGCACATAATAACTGCAATAATTTTACTTTGCCTCATATTGTTAACATATAAAATTGGGCAGTTTCCAGTCACATTATAAAAAGGACACGAATCTCCATTAACTGGGCTTTGAATTAGGAAACAAAATACAGAAACATTCGTTTTTAGAATATACTTTGTATAGCAATAATGTGTGGTGTCCACCCTAAAGCTGTACTCACTTAAAAAAAATTGGGGGGTGCACAGCACCATTAAAGAAGCAAATCCCATGTTCTGCCGCCCACTATTAAAATCATCCCTCTAGTGATGATGGATACTCCCCACAGCAGTGATCTTCCTATACTGGTCAAGAGCAGTGGCTGTGACTGTGATGCCCCCTCATTCATTCACAAAACTCAGGAATATTTTCTGGAATGGAATTTTTTGTGCTTCACACCATGAAAGGTATGTATTCCATGGATGGTAGACCTTATGAGAGATAGATTACATAGCTTTAAGAAGTGTAGGAAACACGGATTTGGGGCAGACCCTTATCACCTAGAACCTGGGCTTCAACAGCTGTGTCATTAAACCAGCAGCAATAAAACAGATTGCTAAACCATTCCTAGGAACTAGAGATCCAGACAGCCTGGAAGAGTCTGATTAGATCTGAACATTTTAGAGAGGAGCATTTTAGAGAGGACGAATGGCATAGTTCAGGTTGAAGTGATCCCCCAGTGACCTGAGCATCCATTGCTTGGCCATGAGACCTCTGAATCTAGAGCCAAACTTGATAAAAGGGAAAAAAATGTTGTTCATGTTTCTCTGAAGAAAATACGTTCATTCCCTTAGGACACTAGCATAGGACTGAAGCATGAAGGGAGTAAGAGGGGTTTCGCTGCCTGTTCAACAATTTTTTTGTTTTCCTGAAGTTGCCAACATAACCCAGCTTCTCAGAATTCCTTCTGATCCTGTGTCCACTGTAAATGCCCGATACAATTATATTACAAAAATAAGAACAGCAATTTTTTTTTCACCTGTCAGCCTAGACAGAGCAATATTTTTATTACAACGGTATATCAAATGAAATCTTTATCTGTTAAAAAAAATATATATTTTTATGCTATAGTTATAGTCAAGTTAACCAACACTGCTAAAGTTGGCTTAGGTATCTTGGATTCAATTACCTCTAATCATGATCAGCTTAAACTGATTCTCTGACTTTCTAAATAAAGCACGTCTGCAGTTAGTACTAAGAGGCAATTCACTAGAGACACTTTTCTTGTAAAATTTCAATTTGGAAATGTAAATATCCAGCATCTTGTCAAAAATGCTAATTTTGACTTTGAAGAAAGTCAATGACTGCACTGCAATACACTTAGTGCAAGCCTGAGGGTTAAGTATTAGCTAACTGAATGCAGACTCTGCTTTTTCTTGGAAAGGGTGAAGGTTCAAAGTACAGGACATTTTATTATGAGCACTGGGCAGCAGATAATTGTGCCTAAATGACTTGTTGCTGTACCTGTGCCATATTTTGACCTTGCACAGATACATTGACGATATCCTGATTATATAGATTGGTACTGAAACATTACTCTGTGAATTTATGACTGCACTGAATAAAAAGCATATAGTTTGGCCTTTACATTCAAATATGATTAACAGAACATGTCATTTTTAGATTTGACCTTTTTTGGGGATCCAGAGCAGAAAACAATAGGTATATAATAGCTATATCATAGCACAACAGCCATTAATATTATTCTGCATGTCTCTAGTCTTTCATCAAAACAATCCCTTATGGACACTATCTCAGATTCTATCTGTTATGACAAACAGAATTATAAATCAGCTGCTAAATTATATTAGATTGAAGCAGAGGGGATACAGCACCAGAACCCTCAAAAAGGCATACTTACGGGCCAAAACACAGAAAAGAGTGAATCTTATTTTTAAACATAAAATTTTCAGTTGGGATAATCTTCCTTCAGTTAGGCTGATAACGGCATATATTAGACAGCATGTGGAAATCAGCAATATCCTTTCTAGACACTGGTATCTGCTTTGAAATGATGCAGTGTTCTGTCAGTTTCTTAAAGCTATTGTAAACCCTTACATATACCCAGTAAAGTAACTAGCTTCAGGTGATACACACAGATGACGCAAACCCTGCTACATAAAGTTGTGCCTGTTTATCTGCAGCCCTCTCTTCTCTACAACCTTTCAAAGTGCCGAATGTATAAAGCTTCTCTGAACTTTCAGAAAGCAGGAAGCGGGATGGTGAAATTACACTCTGCAGAGCTCAATGAGGGGAGCACTGAGAGCTAACTGGGGGGAAGGGCAACACACCCCTTCACATAGCACATATTACCAGAGTTGAGGCTGTCAGTCACAGACTGTGTGCTGCAGTTCCTACCCCGTCATCTTTTTTCTCTTGGTGTCAGGAAAACCTGCCAGAAGTGACTCATGCAGACAGCAGAAGAACAAGGAAAAAGGTAGAAATGACACTTGATGGTCTGGATTGAGACAAGCACACACTATAGAAGGATATACTTTGTCTATATTTCATGTCAAAGGTTTACAACCTCTTTAAGGATTATCCTAAAATCACATTTAAACCAACATATTCCTTGAAGAATACATAGGTACCAGGGGCGACCTGACCATTTGGACATTGCCCGAGGGCCGGGGGTCAGTAGGGGGCCCGTGAGAGGATCACTGTCCAGTGACAGTGTAGGGAGCAGAGGAAGAGGCAGTCTCAGATCCTGACCCAGAAGTAGCTCATCTGTCACTTCACATGGTGGCAAAGGGAGTCTGGTGACGGGTCCGGACACTGTGCTGGTGATGGAGCCGGTGAGGAGTGGGAAAGTGAGAGGCATATCATCCATGGGTGCGGGGTGTTCACTACACACACCCTGCACACACTTTCCCCCCCATGGATGATATGTATCAGTAACAAAGTCGGAGGTGATCGGTGCAGGGGAGGGACAGTGACAGCACCAATCTCCCTGCATGGATTTCACTGAAGCAGCTGAAAGCTCTCTCTCTCCCTCCCTCCCTATCTCTCTCTCTCTCTCTCTCCCCCTCCCTCTCTCTCCCTCCCTCCCTCTTGCTCTCCCTCTCTTTCTCTCTCTCCTTCTCTCTCTCCCCTTCCTTTCCTTCCTCCTTTCTTCATTCCTTCCTTCCTCCTTCCATTCCTTCCCTCCCTTTTCTTCCTTCTTTCCTTCCCTTCTTTCCTTCCTTCCTTCCTTCCTTCCTTCCTTCCTTTCTCCCTTCCTCCCTCCCTCCCTCCCTTCATTCCTTCCTCCCCTCCTTTCATATCCTTTCTTCCTCCCTCCCCTCCTTCCTTCATTCTTTCCTCCATCCATTTCTTTCCTTCCTCCATCCCTCCCTCCCTCCTTTTTCTCCCTTCCCTTCCTTTCTCTTCCCTTCCTTCCTTTCTCTATTTATTCCCTTTTCTTTCTTCCTTCCTTCCTTCCTCCCTCCCCTCCTTCCTTCCTTCCTTCCCGCCCCTTCCTTCATCCCTTGCTCCATCCATTCCTTCCTTCCTCCATCCCTTCCCTTCATTCTTTCATCCCTCCCTCTCCTCCTTTCATTTCCTTCCTTCCTTCTTTCATTCCCTCCATCTCCTTCATTCCTTCCTTCCTCCATCCATTCCCTCCCTCCCTTTTCTTACTTCCTTCCCTCCCTCCCTTCTTTCCTTTCTTCCTTCCTTCATCCATTCCCTCCCTCCCTTTTCTTCCTTCTTTCCTTCCTCCATCCATTCCCTCTCTCTCTTTTCTTCCTTCCTTCCTTCCTTCCTTCCTCCATCCATTCCCTCCCTCTTTTTTCTTCCTTCCTTCCTTCATTCCTTCCTCCATTCATTTTCTTCCTTCCTTCCTTCCTTCCTTCCTTCCTTCCTTCCACTCAAAGCACACCCAAAAAAGCCTATAAAAAGGTACCAGGGGCATTTCATGGGGCCCCCAACTGACCCTGGGCCGAGTGCTTGATTGGTCAGTCTGCCCCTGCTTTGGCCATCCATTTTATTTCCTTCCTTCCTCCCACCCCTCTTTCCTTCCCTCCTTCCTTCCTTCAATCCTTCCTTCTTTTCTCCCTTCCTCCCTCCCTTCATTCCTTCCTTCATCCCCTACCTTTATTCTTTCCTCCCTCCCCTCCTTTCATATCCTTTCTTCCTCCCTCCTTCCTTCCCTCCCTTTCCTTCATTCTTCCCTCCATCCATTTCTTTCCTTCCTCCATCCCTCCCTCCTTTTTCTCCGTTCCCTTTCCTTCCCTCCTTTCTCTATTTATTCCCTTTTCTTCCTTCCTTCCTTCCTCCCTCCCCTCCTTCCTTCCTTCCCTCCCCTCCTTCATCCCTTCCTCCATCCATTCCTTCCTTCATCCATCCCCTCCCTTCATTCTTTCATCCCTCCCTCTCCTCCTTTCATTTCCTTCCTTCCTCCCTTCCTTCCTTCTTTCATTCCCTTCATCTCCTTCATTCCTTCCTTCCTCCATCCATTCCCTCCCTTTTCTTCCTTCCTTCCTTCCTTCCTTCATCCATTCCCTCCCTCCCTTTTCTTCCTTCCTTCCTTCCTCCATCAATTTCCCTCCTTCCTTCCTCCATCCATTCCCTCTCCTTCCTTCCTTCCTTCCTTCCTTCCTTCCTTCCTTCCTTCCTTCCTCCATTAATTTTCTTCCTTCCTCCATTTCCTCCCTCCCTTTTCTGCCTTACCTTCATTCCTTCCTCTATCCCCTCCCTTCATTTTTTCATTCCCTCCCTCCTCATCCTTCAATCATTCCTTCCTTTCTCCCTCGGCTCCCTTCCTTCCTCCATCCCCTCCCTTCATTCTTTCCTCCCCTCCTTTCATTTTTCCTTCCTTCCTCCCCTCCTTCCTTCCTTCCTCCTCCCCTCCTTCCTTTCCGTCATTCCTTCCTCCATCCATTTATTTCCTTCCTCCATCTAGTCCATCCCTTTTCTTCCTTCCTTCCTTCCTTCCATCCCTCCTTTACCTTCATTACTTTGGCCCAGGGGTGGACTGACAACTCATGGGGCCCCCCCAGGCAATAGGGGATAACGGGGCCCCTGTGTCCTTGCCCACACTCAAAGCACACCCAAAAAAGCCTATAAAAAGGTACCAGGGGCATTTCATGGGGCCCCCAACTGACCCTGGGCCCTCGGGCAATGCCCAAGTGCTCGATTGGTCAGTATGCCCCTGCTTTGGCCATCCATTTTATTTTCTTCCTTTGTTCCTTCCTTCCCCCCACCCCTCCTTCCTTCCCTCCTCTTTCTTCATTCCCTCTCTCTCTTTTTATACCTTCCTCCCTCCCTCCCTCCCCTTCCTTCCTTTTCCTTCATTCCTTCCTCCGTCCATTTTCTTTCTTTCTTTCATTCCTACCTTCCTCCATTCATTCATTCCCTCCCTCCCTTTTCTTCTTTCCCTTCCTTCCTTCATCCCCTCCCTTCATTTTTTCCTCCCACCCTCCTTCCTTCCCTCCCCTTTCTTCCTCCATCCATTCCCTCCCTCCCATCCTCCCTCCCCTTCCTTCCTTCCTTCCTTCCTTCCTTCCTTCCAATATAAGGGGATAAGGGGGTACAGGTTCTGTTTATTCATCCCAATCTAATGACAGCCCATTATATACTAGTACTTCCTGTTCATTCCCTACTGACACTGTCCACTGCCCCCACAAAATCATTGTGAAAAAAATAGTACAGAAATAAATTGTAAAAAATAATTACAAAATTAGATAATAAAAATTAAAAAATTCTGACACCCATGCCATTGCTCTACTGACACCACCCACTGGCCACCCAAAAGCATTTTGAAAATAAATGATAAAAATAATAAAACATTAATTTGTAAATCAAATCATAAAATTGTAAAAAAATAAATAAAATATTACTAATATAAATAAAGAACTACTGACACCACCTACTGACACCATCCTACACATACTACCCACCGCCATACACTCTGCACTACTCTCCCTGTACATACTACCCACCGCCATACACTCCGCACTCCTCTCCCTGTACATACTACCCACCGCCATACACTCCGCACTCCTCTCCCTGTACGTACTACCCACCGTCATACACTCCGCAGTCCTCTCCCTGTACATACTACCCACCGCCATACACTCCGCAGTCCTCTCCCTGTACATACTACCCACCGCCGTACACTCCGCACTCCTCTCCCTGTATATACTACCCACCGCCATACACTCCGCAGTCCTCTCCCTGTACGTACTACCCACCGCCATACACTCCGCACTCCTCTCCCTGTACGTACTACCCACCGCCATACACTCCACACTCCTCTCCCTGTACGTACTACCCACCGCCATACACTCCGCACTCCTCTCTCCCTGTACGTACTACCCACCGTCATACACTCCGCAGTCCTCTCCCTGTACATACTACCCACCTCCATACACTCCGCACTCCTCTCCCTGTACTTACTACCCACCGCCATACACTCCGCACTCCTCTCCCTGTACATACTACCCACCGCCATACACTCCGCACTCCTCTCCCTGTACATACTACCCACCGCCATACACTCCGCACTCCTCTCCCTGCACATACTACCCACCGCCATACACTCCGCACTCCTCTCCCTGTACATACTACCCACCGCCATACACTCCGCAGTCCTCTCCCTGTACATACTACCCACCGCCATACACTCCGCAGTCCTCTCCCTGTACATACTACCCACCGCCATACACTCTGCACTCCTCTCCCTGTACATACTACCCACCGCCATACACTCCATACTGTACATTCCCTATTTAACATTACCTCATTCTGCACTATATAAGTCATCTGAGACACTATTTAACCACACCCCTTTTAAGCCATGCCCAATTTATAGCGCAATTTAAAAACACACCCCTCTCTCATCCCTTCCTCTCTCTCTCTCTCTCTCTCCTCCTCCTTCTCTCTCTCTCTCTCTCTCATATTCCTTCTCTTTTTCACCCTCTCACTCCCCTCTCTCTTTCACTTCCCTCACATGGCAGCCATCTTTAAACCTGAAAGTGCCCAGTGGCTTCTACACAAAGAAGCCGGGAACATCCATGCAGTTTTTGCTGCAGTAAATAAGTAAATGCACCTTCTATGCAGCTGAGCTGCAATATGTAGGTAGGGTGTTGTGTGGGTGTGCTTGAGTGTAGGTGGGGGCACAGGGGGCCCCATTATCTCTTACTGCCCGGGGGCCCCATGAGTTGTCAGTCTGTCCCTGATAGGTACATAGTCATTTTGACAAGGAACATGATAACTATTATCCTTTAATCACAGGGACCTTCAAATGTGGCTCTTGTAATCAGTGCAGCTATATTTCCACAAGTAGGGAATAGAGACTGCCAAATGGGGATATTTTCAAACCCAAATATTCTGACATTTGCTCCACAGTTGTAGTTATCTATTTTTTAGTTTGTCCATGTAATTCATTTTATGTAGGAAAAACTAATTGTGAATTCAGAAGAAGAATGCACAAACATATAAGAGACATCAAAGATGGTGATTATTTTCACCCATTGGTTGACATTTTGCCATGTATCATAAATATGATCCTTCCAAAGTCAGCTTTATTGCTTTGGATTTCGATTTCAAGTAGAGGTGGAGATCTTGATAAATGATTGTTTCAAGCAGAATGCAGGTGGATCCATAGGCTGAAAGCTACCATACCTATGGGGTTAAATTAAATCAACAGTTTTGTAACCTTTTTGCAACAGATATGGTATACTATTTATACTGTGTGTATTTGTATGTTGTATTCTTTTTTCGATTTAATTGCTAAACCTCACATTTGCACATATTTTGTGATCGCGCTTTGTATAGTGTGATTTTAGGTGCGCAGAAAGGTTCAATTTCTACTCAGTTTGTTTCCTCCCCTATTTCCACTTAATCATATGTGGGAATGCCACCCTCTGGTGACAGTAGAATGGGCCACTGGAGGAGAAGTGGTGCCTAATCCTAGGATGGGATGGTTTCCAATGGGCTCTTTTATTGCAGCCCCTCCTATGGCACATTTGGATAAATTTGGTGTGTGTCCACGTGAATTCCAGTGCGCATCTCGGTGCTGTGATGTCATTTATGGCAAGACTTGACTGACTTGATTTTGTCACTTCCAGTGATGTCATCACATGGTGTATGACGCACACTGGACATTGGTGGGATATACTGTACAAGAATGAGTTCTTTCCTTTTTTTACCTCTTCTTTGCTTCCTAGGACATGCAGCGAGTTTTCTCCTTTGAACATGGTGGACCATGGGCACACCCTGGAACCTGTAAGTGGGATCTATCCTTTAGGAGGTATTTTTGCTTTGTTTTGTTATGGAGGGGTTATCACCATAATCGCCCTACCCATGCCGCCATTGATGGCTACAGATGTCGATCAACGGGTCCTGGCCGGAGATTCACCGCCACCACCCGGCGATCACCGAGGAACAGTGACATGGGAGAGACCTATGTGTATAGAACACAGGTCGGTCTCTCTCCTGCCAGCAGTAACATGCTGCTGTATCCTTCTCTGCACAGCAGAGAAATATAGAGTAGCATGTTTACATAGTAAAAACACACACAGCACACAGTAAAACACACACAGCACACAGTTAACCCTTTGATCACCCCAGATGTTAACCCCTTCCTGTCCACTGGCATTAGTACAGTGTTAGTGCTTTTTATTAGTACTGATCACTGTATTAGTGTCATTGGGATGTCAGTGGCAGTTAGTCAGTTCATTGTCAGAATGCAGTCTTTAATTCCCACTATAAGTCACTGATTGTGGCCATTACTAGTATAAAAAAAAAATTCCAGTATATATACCACCATTTGTAGATGCTATAACTGTCACGTAAACCAATTAATTTACATGTATTGGAATTTTTTTTAGCAAAGACATATAGGAGAATACATTTTGGCCTAAATTTAGGCCAAATTTTGATTTAATTCTTTTTTACTGGATATGTTTTATAGCAAAAAGTCAAAAATATATATATTTTTTTCAAAATTGTTGGTCTCTTTTTTGTTTAAACTGCAAAAATAAAAAATACAGAGGCGATCAAATACCACCGAAAGAAAGCTCAATTTGTGGGAAAAAAGGACTTATATTTAATTTGGGTGCAGCGTTGCATGACTGCGCAATTGTCAGTTAAAGTAACGCAGCGCTGTATCGCAAAAAATGGCCTGGTCAGGAAGGGGGGTAAATCCTCTGGAGGGCAAGTGGTTAAAGTTCTGGTCTAATTGTTATGTAACATGATGTAATATACATAATATATACACTATGGGACAATTTTAATAATATTTACAGTATATGTTTCTTTCTAAAGGACACACTGTTAGCTGCACATACATCCTTGATAAAATGGACGCCTCTCCAAGAAACACGATGGATAGACTATTAGATCTACATAGTTAGTTTGAATTTATGTTCAGAAAGGAGGAACATATGGATAATAATCATTTTGCTTTGTAATATATTGGTAAATACCTTTGATCATCACCTTTTGTATCTCTTGATCCTCCCTCTTAGATTGTGAGCTCTAACAAGCAGGGCCCTCTGATTCCTACTATATTAAATTGTATTTTAACTGTACAGTCTGCCCTTATGTTGTAAAGCTCTGTGTAAACTATTGGCGCTAAATAAATCCTGAATAATAATAATACATATAATGATGTATACCAATTGTCCTCATTACAAAAAGATGTTGTTTGTATACTAAAGGGACCTTCTTTACATTTTATGATAGGACTTGCCAAGGCAATTTTTAGTAAATTGTTGATAAAGATATATATATATATATATATATATATATATATTTACCTAAAGCGGTATTAAACCCAAAAAGCAACCATTTATTATATTGCAACTTAGCAATTCTTAAATGTGATGGCTGCATTCATTGTTTTTTAGGTTTTTGTTCTTCAATTCTCATCTGGTGAACCAGCCAGTAAGTCAAGCTCTCCAGCAGAATGTATCAGTTACAGTGATGTGACAAACCATTTACCACTAACAGGGGTGCTTACAATGATCAGCTTTTATATCAGCTTTTATATGTTTGTGTAAAATCTTTATCCCAAAAGGGGGGAAAAATGTTTGCTGTAACTGATTATAAAGTATGACCTGGAGTTTGGCTTCAATTTGTTAGTGTATTTAAATTTACTATTACATGAAAAACACTCCCCTCCCCCCCAGACTGGCAATGCTGGTGTCTGTTGTGCCTCATTCATTAGGAGTGGTGTCTCATTATTACAGGAGGTGTGTTAGTGACCAGATCACAAAGGAAAAACAGAGGGGAAAAGAGCCCAAGAAAAGAAATCTGATGTAGCCATCACATCTAATGACTGGTAAGCTGCAATATAATTCAGAATCAGAAAATGTCTTGTCATTCGACAATATCAGTCATAAAATGAAACACAGTTGTAGCTCCCTAACATTAAAAAAAGAAATTCCACACTCAACATAAAAAACAACAAAAAGCCATAATAAAAATATAACTCCCAATCCATTTATTCGACAAGTTTTCCACAAATTTATTTTTGGTTTTGGGTTTAATATCACTTAAAGATGCAGATGTTTTCTGTGACTATGTTCACCTAAATATCTCCTTTCTCTTTGAAACATATATTACCATTACAGTGCTTAAACAACTTGCTTAACCATTAGCCGCCCGGCCAATAGCCGTTTGGCGGCTTGAAAAGCGCTGCAGCTTTCCGGGTCCACGCCATTTGGCGTGCTCCCGCACATGCGCCGTTTGCGCTATTGCAGAGCGGCGCAGCAGCGGGATCTGTCACCGCCCGTGCACCTCGGACACGGCCGATGACAGATCCGAGTACCGGCTCCCGTTGCCGGTACCATGTGACCTGCCGCGACCAATCACAGCAGGTCACATGACAGTTGTATACAATGGATGGCTTCATTCATGATGCCATCCATTGTATACTAGTGCCTAGCTGTGAATGGTCATAGCTAATCACATGCACATGTCATGTGATTAGCTGTGACCAAATCACAGCTAAGCACAAAAAAAAAAAAAAAAAAAAAAAAAGCTGAATGAATCGATTTCATTCAGCTAAATGCTTGCTTATAGCAAAGTAATTCTTTGCTATAAGCAAATTGTGTAAAAAAAAAAAAAAAAAAAAATACTGATCACTTCCCCAAAGTAGTACAATGTTACTATGGTAACATTGTACTATTTTGGTCATAGTAAAATATGAAAAAAAATCTTAAAAAAAATAAAAAAAAATGTAATAAAAAATTAAATATAATAAAAAAATAAAAAAAAATTAAAAAAAAATATAATTTTTTTTTTTTTCATACTGTCACCAGTCAGTGTCCCTGTTCACCGCCATGCCAGTTATATGATGACGCTGTACTGCACTGGTGACAGTATGTAAAAAAAAAAATAGTGAAAATAATATTTTTCATTTTTTTCATTTTCGGAAAAATTATGACAAAAAAATACAACTTCAAAAAACTCGCCATGCCTCTTATGAAGTACGTCCGACTGTCTACTCAGCAAAAAGGGGTCATTTGGGGATATCTGTACTATTCTGACATTCTTGGACCTCAAGAAATTAGATTGGCTGTCAGTACTTCAGGATTGATCAATATTCAGATCTATACCATAGTTTGTGAACTCTATAACTTTCCTACAAACTAAATAATACATCCTAATTTGGGTTATTTTCACCAAAGACATGTAGCAGAATACATCTCGTCCTAAATTTATGAAGAACAATTATTTATTTGTAAACTTTTATAACAGAAACAAAGAAAAATGTGTTTTTTTTTTTTTCAAAATTTTTGGTCTTTTTTTGTTAATTTAGCAAAAAATAAAAACCCCAGCGGTGATTAAATACCACCAAAAGAAAGCTCTAGTTGTGTGAAGAAAATGATAAAATTTTAGTTTGGGTACAATGTTGTATGACTGCGCAATTGTCATTCAAAGTGTGAGAGCGCTGAAACCTGAAAAATGGCCTGGGCAGGAAGGTGTAAAATTGCACGGTATTGAAACGGTTAATGACAGGCAGATATTTCCTCACCTGTTGCTCTTTTGGATTTCCCATCACTTTCAGTCCAGGGAACAGTGGTCACACAGTGGCCAAACAGTGAAAACGTATGTAGCACTACCCTCTTAGGGGTTGCTGTTGACATGGGTCCCCCTATAGTCCTGCACAGCCAGTCATTAAGCATTTTCCACACAAGCTTGCATCCATAGACAGAAATCAGTCTGTAAGCATTTGTTTTGTTATTTTATTGATGGAATTAGAACTTAGAGTAAGGGGTGTATAGGATGCCTAAGGGAACCAATAACTGAGGACAACTTCCTAGAACTATTCAAAAGCTTCTCCTTCTGTGATGCAGTCTCTGTTGGAGTGCTAGCCAGCAGCTCCTAGTTGTACCATTCCAGATCCTAGATGAATTCCTCTTCACCCAGCAATCTGGAGACTTTCTTCCTGAGCAGGGGATCTGGCTCCTGTTCCTTTAAGTAAGGTGCACATCCACTAGCAAAGGGCTCATCTGGTTTTCCACCACAGTGCTCCTTTTCCTATCCGGCAAGAGGGTGCAGATGTATTCACTCAGAGTATCTCCTGTACCACCTGCGGAATGGCTACTGTTACCAGGCCTATCAGCTGGGCTTCTCCTTTCCTGCCATACAGGTGGTCCTTTCTCAGGGGCCAGTGAGTCCTGAGTTTTCCTCCTTTCCAGCTCTAGGCTCGCAGGCAGGCTCCATCCCACTAGGCCTCCTGGCAGCCATCATCCTCCTGCCACACATCTACCTGCTCCACACTCCTCTCCCACCACTACACTCCTGCTACTGAGCAAGATCTTGCATCTCTACAGGAGTCCCAGCCCCTTGTCAAGCCTCCTGTTGGGGATTGGCTGAGGTTCCTCAAGAGTGTAGCCAGCCACTCCTCAGATCCACCCACTGCCTCCAAGGCTCTCCTCTGAAAGCCTCAGAGCAGGGTGAAATTCAAGAGGGGCTGGCCTGCAGAGTTTCTCAGTCCTGACCAGAATTTGACCCCTCTGACTATCTCACCTGAGCTGCAAATCAGCTCCTCACTAGCCATTAATGTCTAGCTCCCTATAGCTAAACTAGAAGGATGCTACACTTAAAAAGGGTTCTAACTCTTCCATAAAAACATTTTGACTTTACTTGCATTTTAATTTGTCTGCAAACAACTCATTACTGCGCATGATTTGGCAGTCTAGGGGGTAATAATCATTTCTGGTACCAGAAGCCAAGGCTAGCACAAACAGAGCGTTTCCATATTGCCAACTCATACATCTTTCAAGAGGAAGGAAGAAAGGACAGATGGACAAGTGCATGCTTTCATCCAGTGTACAAATCATATCAGTACGACAGAGATTGGGTACAGGCTTCACTCTAATTCTCAAGCAGAAATCTGTCCACCTCTGGCCACCCATCTTCCATGGGCCTCCACCAGCTAAACTGTACAAAAAAAGGCAAGCGCAGTGTAGACTAAATTTGTATTCCAACAGCATCAACAAATATTTTATCTCAATTATGTGCCCCCGTTTAGTTTATATTTCCTGTAATTAGTTGACTAACTGCTGATCGCCATTTGCATTCCATAACTACTTGCATTGTTTGGAAGCAATTCTATCAGCAGAGAAAACATTAGCATATAATAATTCCCTATTATTCTAACTGCGGGATTTTTATGGTAAAAATGCACCAGTCATATCTTTTTTTTTTTCTTCTCTCATTAGCTTTGAAGAACCTCATTGTTTTTCAGGTGAAATGTCAAAGTAAT